CAACACACAAAGTTCACTGCCGAGGACACAATATTGTTATTAATCGATAACCATCAACATCGACATGTTGACATTTATGTTGTTGAAATGGTAAAGGCCAATTCGGTTATAATGCTGTCTTTCCCCCCACATTCTACCCATAATTTGCAACCACTAGATGTTAGCGTTAATGGACCGTTTAAAACGTATTGTACCAAAGCTCAAGAAAACTGGCTACGTAATGATCCAGGCAATGTATGCATGACCGTCTTTCGTTACTGACCGAGCTATGCCCGACACTAATATTTTAAATAAAAAATCACAACTCCAGTGAAACAGAAATGCTTCAGATTTGAAGTAGGGAAAAGTTTATGCATGCTTGGGCTATCGATAAACAAGAAAAAAGGTAGACCAAGTTCATCTGATGAAACTGAAATAAAAGGCAGAAGCCAAATACATAAATCCTACCTCCTAGTGAGTTTGAGCATTTTCCTGTTTGGTGTGAAGAAAGACAACGATGCAAACATCCTGGTTGCAAAGGAAAAATATTTTGCGACAAATGTTGGGTAGAACTTTGCCTAAATAAATATAATAATTGTTTTAGATATTTTCATCAATAAAGAAATAACAATTTATTATGTAATTTTGTTTATTATAAATTGCAATATATAAATAAGTAAAATAGATACTGGTTATTTCATTTTGATAAAAATAATAAGTCATGGTTTTATTTTTATTTTTATGAGTTATATTTGTTTTCCCTATCTTCTGATCACTAATAACAACCTATATATTTTTGTAGCGTAATACATGAAAATTGAACCATGTAGGGTGAAATTAGAAGACGTCTGGAAATTGACGGAAAAAGTTTTTCAGTAGTAACACCCGACTATTGAAAATCTCGCTGTGAACATGTTATTAACTATGAGAAACAATATTTAGATAATGAGCAAGTAGGAGAGACTGGAGCTGGTCGTGACAGGGGTAGGTAGTTACAGTGGCAACGGTGAATAAACAAAGAACGCTATTTTGACATATGAAAAAGACAAATGACCACGACATCATCGGCTAGCACGCCGCGCGAGCAAGTGGCGCCAGCGCTTTTATGAGAGGAGTCCATACATGTTACCATCAAAATCGCAGGTTAGTAAAATTTTGGTTTTTTCGTAATATTGGTCTGCAACCTCTTTTCCTTTGAAGCAGATATGTGTGTGTTGTTATATTTGTGCCCTAGTCCTTTCTTTTTGCAACTAATCTACGTTTATACAGTTATACTTATTTGCGTTTTTACTACTTAACTTTGAAGAGTCAGTTTTGGCGTTGGGACTAAAAGTGACATTTGCCCGGAAGAGGTTCTTATTTGTTACTACCTGCCCCGTAGTGGTGCTTTCCGACTGATATAATTGGAGCTACATAATTTGTTGTTTTCTGTAGGATGAGGACGTATAAAAGAAAAACTTGAGTGTGGAAAAATACCTAGATATTTACAAAAAAGCAGCAGCTATTTTGGAAGAGGATAAAACTAAAAAAATTCGTGGCATTACAAATGATCTTGGACTATGTCATATGTTGCTAACAAGATATTTGAAAGAACGAAAAGAAGCAAAAGGGAAGGGCACACCTATAAAATTTGTCGCAGTTAGCCACCAGAAGAATAGACAAGTTTTCAATGATGAACGAGTTACTTAATTAGAAGCAGCCAAATTTACTTTGGATTGACGCCAAAAGATGTCGGGCAACTGGCATTTGCCTGTGCACTTAAGTATAATATTGTAATGCTGCAATCATGGCTTGACAATAAAGAAGCAGGAGTTGATTGGTTGACAGCGTTTTTGAAACGAAACCGGTCTTTGTTAGAGCATACGTAACCTAAAATGTAGCATCGTCCTACAGATGGCGTTTACTGCGCCATTTGTAGTATTTTCTAAAACCAGTCTTTGTCGCCAGAGGCTAATAGCCTAAGTGGGGCTACGTCATTTTCAAAAACTAACGTCGATAATTTTTTTTTCTTAGCTGGCGGACGTGTCGGACAGAATTTTCTTTGTCACGCATATGGAATGTAGATGGGACTGGCGTGACAACGATGCAGAAACCTAGAAATATTTTGGCTCCAAAAAAGTCTAAGCAAGTTAATTCCCTTACATCAGCGGATAGGACTCTTGTCATCCTCTGCGTAGCAGCAAATGCAGTGGGAAACTCGATACCATGTATCTTTATCTTCCCACGAAATAAAATATAGGAACTATTTTGTTCGCGATTGACCTCCAGACTGCACTGGCGCTGGCAACTCGAGTGGTGGGATGACTGGGGTTGAATTTAGAATACTCATGAAACTTTTCATAGACAATGTAAAACCATCTCCATCCGATCCTGTGCTCTTATTATTGGACAATCATTCTTCGCACTTGGATATTGAAGTCGTCGAAACAGCTAAAGAGAACAATCTGGTATTGCTGTCCTTCCCACCACATTGGCCTCATACGCTCCAGTCCATCGATGTGGGGGACTATAGACCATTGAAAGATTACTTTGTCAGCCAAGAAAATGCCTGGCTTAGAAACAATCCGGGTAAGACAATGACTATTCACAATATTCCATCTATAGAATAAAGCTGTACCCTGGGTGTTGAATCCGGCTAACATTATCAACGGATTTAAAAAACTGGTATTGCACCATTTAATTAAGATATTTTTCAGGATGATGATTTCTTGTCTGCTTTTGTTACTGACAGACCAATAGACGAAACTGCTAACTTGAAAATACGCCCGTTACAACAGAGAATACTCCAATTCATTTCACTATATACTATAACTCCTATTCCTGGGTTTATTGAAGAGGCTACTGAAGTAGTAAATCCTACAGGAGAATGCAAAAGCTCTCTTTATGGTTCAGTTGCTGGTTGTAGCAGAGATTCATCTGTTTGGGAGACTTTATCAAGGATACAATATTTTTACTTATAGATCGAGAGCTCACGATCAAAAATTCTGTCAAATCTTATTCACTGAGACACCGTATTTATTCAATACAATACATTATTCTAATATTGGAAAGTCCCCGACTGGGAATTTGTTAAGGCAGGCCGTGGCCGTATCAGCATTCGGCCTGATCCGGATTTACCAAGGCATCTCCTATTACGACATGCGATCTCAACATTAGTCGTATCCTTTCTCTTCTCGTTTACTGAATGCAAAACGACCATTACAAGAAACGATTAGTTCTACATTTAGAGATTTAAGAATATTACTATGTGTGATACTATTGCGGTAACGGTGAAATTTATAGTATTTCGTGCATATCATCTTGTTTTGGAGTGTTTTAAAGAAATTTATTTAATAATTCTTGTTACATTTGCGAAATAATGTTTGCCTTACAAAAACGCAATTTGACGCTTCTTATGAAGACTGCATATAAACATTATTTGGGTATGAAGCTAGAAAACTAAAATAAGCCATGGGCTCCACACATATGTAGCAATTCGTGTTCAGTTATATTATGGCAATGGTTGAAAAATAAAAAACAATCTATGGCTTTTGCTATGCCTATGATTTGGCGCGAGCCCACCAACCACATAGACGATTGTTATTTTTGCTTGACTCTGTCTATAAAAGCAGAATTGTCAATGAAAAAAATAAAAAACTGATAAATACCCGAATCTTCCATCTCTTACTCCACCTGTTCCACATTCAGACAGTTTACCAGTTCCTACACCACCTCAGACTTATGATTTGGAAGCAGAAAATGAAGACAGTGTAGAAGGAGAATGTAACGAGCCTTCAACATCTGATGACCCTGATTTTATTATTGTACTTATCATTTTTTTAAAGGAAATCATGCAATGTATTCGTATATTAAATATATATCGCTTACATGATTCTTTTTCAATCAAAGACAACTGCGACGACTTCAAAGCATCCTATTTGACTACATTCAAAAATTAAAACGAGAAGTAAATTTACCACTCAAAGAAGGCAGATTTGATCCAATCTTTACCGTGGAGTACGAAGAAGCTCTAATTGCGCACGTAGTGGATATGTCAAATAGGTGCATGCCTTTAATGAACAGAGAAATCCTGAAATTGACTTTCGATGGAAAAATTAAAACTGAATCACATTTTCAACACGGACAAGAAAAGTGCTGGTAAACATTTATACTATGATTTTATCAAACGCAACCCTAAACTCAGCTTGAGAAGACCAGAGTCTGCATTTCTTTTGTTTATACATTAAATAGTTTACCGTTTTCGCGTTATTTTTATTTCTTCCTGCTATCACCTGAACAAATCCAGTAAAAAAAAAACATTCAAGGATGTATATTTTGAGACCTGTAGGTTATGGATGAGGGCCAACTTTAGTGCAAAAATAAGAGAATATAAAGTACCTGCAATGGTGACGCAACCTTTCACTCGCGTTGAACGTTTGGATATAGCGAAATCTGGGTTTCAGTGCACTGAAATTCTGCTTATGAATTCAAATGTTTACACAGATTTAGATTTTCTGCTATCATTTTTTTCCTTTCCTACAAACATAAAATAAATACATATGATCAAAGAGAACCTTCACCGTTAAAGAAAAACTTACTTACTTGACACTTAGAACAATTCTATTGGACAATTCCTACCCAAAAAAAGTAATTGATCCAATTTAAATCCTGATTATTAACAAAACAATGGGCCCCAGATTAACAGTAATAATTCAGATCATGAACCTTATGAGACCATTATGAAATATCGTTCTTAACCATACGAGGGTGGATTGATAAGTTTCCGGCCTAACCAAGAGATGACGCCACTAGGCCTACCTTGAGGTGACATTCTATAGTACCATCCTTGGATAGCTTGTAGCTATAGTTTCAGCCCGATCTCCTTGCTAGTGTAGGTTTGACAGCACGCTGAACAAGACGCCTCTGTGGTTTTCGTAAAAATGGAAAAGCAGGAAAATCGTGCTGTCATCAAATACTTTTATTTGAAGGGGTTAACGCCGAAGGAAATTAAAAAAGAGATGGACTCAACACTGGGGACATCCTCCCCGTCATATTCAACCGTTAAGCAGTGGGTTTCCGAGTTTAAAAAGGGTCGTGTGAGCACCTCTGATGGGCCTCGCTCAGGACGCCCCGTTGAGGTCACAACTCCAGATATGATCGAAAAAATTCATCAAATAGTGCTGGGAGACCGCAGATTGAAAGTGCGTGAGATAGCTGAGACCTGTAAGATGTCATATGAACGTGTGCAACATATTTTGCACCAACATTTGCATATGGAAAAGCTCTGTGCAAGATGGGTGCCGCGTTTGCTAACAGTCGACCAAAAATTGATTCGAAAAAACATTTCTACCGCAAATTTGTCATTGTATAAGCGTAATCCAAGCGAATTTTTGCGTCGATTCGTAACCGTTGACGAAACGTGGGTCCACCACTACACTCCTGAAACCAAAGAACAGTCTAAACAGTGGATTGGACCAGGGGAACCAACTCCAAAGAAGGCAAAAACAATTTTTTCGGCGAACAAGGTTATGGCTACTGTTTTTTGGGATGCAAGAGGTATTATATACATTGATTACCTTGCAAAGGGTAATACTATCACTGGTCAATACTACGCAGACTTATTGCAACGTTTGAGCCACGAGGTGAAAATTAAACGACCTCATCTGGCGAAGAAAAAAATCTTGTTTCATCACGATAACGCACCAGCGCACACGTCAATCGTTGCGACGGCTAAAATCAACGATCTAAAGTTTGAATTGATGCCGCACCCTCCTTACTCTCCAGACCTAGCCCCGAGTGACTATTTTCTGTTCCCTAATCTCAAAAAATGGCTTGGCGGTAAGAGATTTGCGGACAATGAAGAAGTAATCGAAGCTGTAAATGGTTATTTTGAGGAGCTTGACGAATCAGTCTATAGAGATGGCATTAATAGACTGGAACACCGCTATGAGAAATGTATCAGCCTTGGAGGAGATTATGTTGAGAAATAAAAAAAAAAAATTTTTAAAAACCTTGTTTTTCTTGGTCAGGCCGGAAACTTATCAATCCACCCTCGTACATATAATATCTTTCTCATGAACTTATTAAACTAATTAAAGAAATTAAAGTTAACATCGCGTGTTACAATGTTAATCACTAATAAATTTTCAAAAAACTAAAAGATAAAGATCCCCTACAAAGGTTAGGCCATCTAATATATAAAGTCGATTGTCGAGATTGTGACAAATGTTATATTAGACAAATTTCTCAATGTCTCTTGAATCGTTTTAACCAATACTTATATGATGGTCACTGTGAATCTGGTAATAGTGCACTTGCATCTCATATTTATACTATAGGTCATAGTATCACCTTCGAGAACGTATCGGTTCTCCAAACTTGCTACAACATCCGAAAACGTCTACTTTTTGGAAATGGCGCATATCTACAGATCTAACAACTGTATGAATACAAGATCTGACAATGACAGCCTGAGCACCATTTACTGCTATTTGCTATCCATGCAATTAGTTATTCACCATCACCTTCCGTTGGTTCTCTTCGTTAGTTTTTCTACGCGAGGTCGCCCTATGTGGCCCACTTTGTTTCTAATTTAAATCTATGATCACAACCTAATTATTGTCGTTGCCAGAGAAGAGAAACGTATATATAAATCATTGGGGGGGGGGGCACTAAAAAAAAATTTGGTTATTTCATTCCCACCAGCCAGTAATGCTGGTGGGCGGGCAGTCCCTCCAGACTAGAAGGTAGAGCGGAAGGCCCTCTTTAGCCTCCTTTCAGGAATCGTGGGAATGGGTGGGTGGTGGTTTTGATGAGAAAGACGAACCGGACGAAATGAAGACAGAAGAGTATGAAAGATTATCTGTGAAATATTTGTGTCCCAGCATTTGCCTAAGTGATCCAAGGAAACCACAGAAAAACTTGGACCTAGACAGACGGGCTCGGAATCGGTGAATCATTTTGGTGAACTAACCTCAAATTTCCGTTGCGACCTTCTGCTGGTTACGCGTGTTTATTTTACGTGTTATAGTGGTATCTTATATTGGACCCTCGGCCGGTACCTAAAATGGACCGGTTTAATTTGGGCAACGTACGAAGGTTGAGTTGAGAATTTTGAATTATGTTATTTACAGGATACCCGTACGTGGAAAATACGGAAAGTGAGACACGGAGTCATTGGCAAATGCTCTTGAAGCATTTAGAAGAGGCGATTATGGTCTCAATGAATGTTCTCGGCAGTCTGGAATTCCAAAAGCGACTTTAAAAAGACATTTGGAAAATAAAAATAAGCGAGCTAATGAAGACGTTAAAAAAATGAGAACATTTACTATATTCTCAGAAAATATTGAGCGTGAGATAGTTCAACACCCTTTAACATTAGAAGAAAATATGTTTGAAATGACGATCAGAGATGTTCGTAAGCTGGCCTTTCAATTGGCAGCGCGAAATAATATTAAAAATAATTTTAATCAACAAAAGAAAATAGCCGGTAAACAATGGTACTACAACTTCATGTCTAGGCACAAGGAGTTGACTCTTCGTCAGCCAGAATCAACGTCACTATACAGGGCGAAAGGTTTTAGCCAAGCAAGAGTCGATGCATTCTTTTTACTGCTGATGAAAATTTGACCCCTGCACAAATTCTTAATGGAGATGAAACGGGATGTTCAACTGTGCAGAGAAAATGCCAAAAAGTTGTGACTCTACGGGGAAAGGTCAAGCGGTATTTCCAGTGGAGAAAGAGACGTCAACACGACCGTCGTATGTTGTGCAAGTGCTGGAGGGCAATTTTTACTCCCAACGATTATCTTTAAAAGAAAGAGGTATGGAGATGAATTAGCGAGAGGGGCGCCTCCAGACAGCCTAGTCACTATCAGTGATTCGGGTTACATAAATGCGAAGCTTTTTGTTAGATGGCTTCAGCATTTTGTGGATTTCGTTACACCATGCAAAGAAAAGCCAATTTTGTTGTTACTGGATGGGCACTCGACCCAAAGCAAAAATCTTGAAGCTTTAGAACTTGCTAGGAGGAATAGAATTCGATTATTACAGTTGCCTAGTCACACAACACACCGCGTTCAACCTTTAGACATTGGCTTTTTCAGATCGTTTCAAACGTTTTATAACCAAGCTGTTGAAAAATGGCTAAGAGCAAATGTAGGCCGAACAGTGTCCATGTTTCAAGTATTTGCTCTTATTGGTGAAGCTTACGGATATTCAGCAACTGTCCGCAATGCCACCAATGCGTTTCGTGCTACTGGAATATGGCCTATTGATAGAAACGTTTTTAACGAAAGTGATTTTGCTGCGTCTCGCATATTAAATGTGCAACAAGAATCTGATGAGCAGCAACAACTTCGAGTAGATGATTCTTCTTCATCGGATGACGATCAACCTCTGATACATTTAATAAATCGAAAAAGACCTTCAACATCCTCATTAAATGTATCAGTATAAGACATTTCTCCATTACCAGTAAGAAAACAAATAAAGGTCGTCAAAGAACAAAAAAGTAGAACCCAAGAAGCTGTGGAATTGACTAGTTCGCCATACAAGAATGAACTGGAAGCTATTAGGGCAAAGCCATCAGGATCTAAATTAAATAAGTTACAAAAAGTAACAACGAAGGGTTTAATGGCCTTGTCATCTGCGAAAGGTGGAAGTGAAACCGAAAGTTGGTTTTGCGATATTTGCTGTAAAGACAAAGATCCAATGATTCGATGTATGTCATGTAAAACATGGCAACATGCAAAATGTGTTAAAGTAAGTGGTAAAGAAAAGGTATTTTATTGTGCAAAATGTAAGAAGTTAGATATTTTTTGTGTCAATTGCTCCCTTTTGAATACTTTTTTTGTTATATGATACTTATCTTAATGTTATATTTTTATTGGGTTCCTTGATCAAAAAATGTTGCAATTATTCTAGAATAATATTTTAATTAATCACATTATTCTTAAAAAAATGATCTTAGTTTTTAGAATTCAATTGAGTTGTTTTAGTATTGTTTTTATAGCTGGTTCAATTTAAAGGACCGGTAATCCAATTAAGGATACTAGTTTCCTAAACTGGAATTTTGTTGACGTTTTTATTTTGTTTTAAATAAATTATTTGCAGTCGTTTTGGAGAGTCAATTTTTTATTTGAAGCATTGTCTGTTAGCGTACTTTCAGACACCGTCTTCAAATTAACTGTGATGGTGTACTTTTTTTCCTGAGAAGCTTATCTTTGAAAATGGTCCAATATAGGCGACCTTCCCCTATACACAAAAATGATAATATATTGTAACAACAACATATGTGGCAAATATATGTAGCCACAACGTAAATAGAGATGTTATTTAGGTTGTGTTGTTACTATTGTTAGTTTTTTAAAGTAATTAGTGAAAATGGTTAAATATTGTTGTGCATATGGGTGCACAAATGAGTGAAGACCCAATAAAATCATAAAATCCCGTATCTATTAATTAGAGATTAAAACAAGTAAAATATAATTTAACCTACTTTATGGGTACATGCGTATGCGAAAATCTTAATATAAGAATAATTGCCTTGTTAATTATTACTATATTAGTTCTACACATATATTCATTTTAAATTTCCACTGAAGAATCATCGGAAATACAGTTATGGATACATGGAACATTTCAAAGAAAATAACCTAGAATAATCTGGTAACAAAAATATTTTAAAAAAGATGCACTTCCTTCAACTTTTTATTTCCTAGAACATTTAATGAAGTATGAAACTAAAAAACGGAAACTTGTTCTTTTTAGTGAAGGTAGTTGCGTGAAGAAAGAGGTAATCAGGTTGAATGTTATTATATATTTATTGATTAATTTATTATAGTTTAGAGGTCAAAAGATAATAAAACTGAGGGAAAATCAGTATGTGGTGTAGATTATCAAAAATCTGGTTTGAAGACTGAAGTTGAGATTCAGCTAAGTAAGCAATTAAAAAATGCTAAATTACAGGTAAAAAAAAAAGTTTACAATTGAAATCAATGAAAGATTTACTTAAACATTTTCAAGCAAATAAAAAATGTGATCTAAATAAAAATTGATGATATCCTTATGAACAATTTTGAAGGATTTCAATTAGAACTTTTTAAAGGGCAAGCAAGGAACTCGATAAACAGCAAAACTCAAAAACGGTATACAGATGAAGATAGTAGACACTATGAATATGTGGATTATAGTGGTATTGTTGATCTACTGTTGAAGAATTGGCTACTGAGGCTCTAATTTTTAACATTGTTTCATTTACAACGAAATTTAAAGGTCCCATACCGTACTTTTTTTCAATAAAATTTCTTCTTTACAGCAAAATTAAATACTATTAGCGATCCAAAAATTATTTGAAATAGGTATTAATGAGAATTAAGAGAAGGAGCTTTCGTGTTGGATAGACGTAGAGAACGTGCTCTGTGAGAAAAGCCTTTTTGAATTTTTTGATATATAGTTAGTTAAAGAACACCTTGGACTGCGGACCTAAAAGAAACTTCGTGAATTAATAATCACTTTGGAGGATTAAAGTTAAAGTTACTAGTGTTAAAAACTGAACCAGATATCAAAGTTGTGGCCTTCACCGACCTGCTCTATCGCAAAAACAGGAACAAAGAAAGTCTCTTTAATTTTAAAAAAAAAATCAATTAGGTGG